GGTAGTTAGGTTAAGGGTTAGTTGCAGATACTTCTTTTCAGTGATTATTTCTTGTTATTTTGGGTTTAGAAGGGTGGCTAGCAATATGTAGGTGTTCTAGGATCATGAAAATATGATTGACAATTATCTGGGAGAATGACTGATTGCAACATTGAATGCAGTGGGAGATTAAACACGTATGGAGAATTCAAGAATTTATTTTAGGAGTTTGATTTCTTTAAAGATTTTTCTCCTAACTTTTGTTGCCATTTTGGTAATTTTATTGTCCTTCTTTTAACCGAAAAGGGGTGGGGTGGGGATTGAGGAATTTAAACTTCAACAAATGCTAAAAGCGGCAGATATCAAATAAGGAAAATTTTATTATAAAAATGAGAAACTTGAATAAGACAAGAATTGCTGGATTTACTTTTGATTTATGATATGTACTTTCCCTCAGAATACTCTTATTTCCTTCATTTCCTTCATCTTGACTTTTTCCATTGTGTTTCAAGTGCCTTTCATTTGAACTACAACAAATGCTAAAAGCAGCAGATATATCAAATAAGGAAAATTTTATTAAGAAAATGAGGTTCGTGATATTGCATATCCTGTAGGAAACATGGCAGGGTATTGTGTATACAACGCACTGATGAAGGAAAGTCTCTGCCATTCTGAATTGAGGACATGCAGAAAATGTAGGTTACTTTATTCAGTTTATGGATCATAAGCCCTGGAGAGAATGTAGGTTACTTCCCCGGCAGTCACTGCTCTTCCTTGTAGAATATTCTACAAAAAACAATATGATTATCACTGCCAGGTGCAACACGGCTTCGGTCCAAGATATATTCTCTCATGTGCCATCCTGTGTTGTTGTTATTTATTCTATGTTTGAACGGCCTCTTCTCTCCCCACTTATTGTCATCATAATCCTTAATTTCTTCTACATTCCCGTACTGATGCCATCGAGAGTTTCCATCCGATTGTGCTATAGTCCTGTCGATTCTCTCTGTTCTTTCTGTTTTCGTTTTCCTTTTCGAAAAATACCAGCGCAAATCATCTGTCGTTACTGCATCAGCAAATTCAGCGTTAGAAATTAATCAAATGCGTAAATACGGTACACATTTACACACTTTTCGAACAAACTTCTGTATTACGTAAAAAATAACACTTATTTTACATGAAAATAATTTCGAAATATTGAACCCACTAGTCAGTTTCTCAAATTAGCCCATTAAAACCCAAACCCAAAAAACCAACCCTAGGTTTCCTTTCTCTTTAAAAGGGGGAGAGCCACACAAAAAAAGAGGAGGCTGTAGACGGCGAAAAAAGAATTCTTCTTCCATCCAGAACCCCCTCTCTCCATTTTTTTTTCGATCAACAGCCTTTGTCTCCATCACTAGTCATCACCCGATTCTTCTCCCATTCAGAACCCTTTTTCTCCACTTTCTCCGATCATCAATTTTCACCCCTTCCGTCACCGATCACCATTCTCACTGCTCGTTCCTCATCACCGATCTGCTCTCTTTCGCCTAACAACAGTCGCAAGTCATCTCCTCCGTCTCACAGCAGTCGACCAACCATCAGGGTGATTCCTCCACCCATAAAAGAATAATCGAGATTTCAAACGGTTTTACCATCAAATTGTGATTTTATATTTTAAAAAATAAAAAATTAAATTAAAATTACTAAAAATATATAAATAGAGTATTTAAAAGGAAATTAAGATGTATAACTAATTAAATATACCTGGGAGTTGCCACGGTTCGCCTGCGAGGATGTCGGTCTCTGTGACCATGTAACTAAATGGCGGATCGACACGACCGTTGTTTACTTTCTCATCGAGAACATACATGAACTCGCGGTCAGATACCTCATTGCCGGGAGGCCTCCATCGTGATGAATTTGGTGGATGAACAAAATTACCCAACTGACCCTCCATGACCGCCGTGTAAATGGTCTCTTAGCGTGAATTTTTTTTTTGGAAATAATAGGTAATGACTCGTGTATTTATTCTGCCGTATTCCCGGAAAACTTTATAAAAAAGTAGAGGTTCCGTGCGAAATTGGACTCGGGACTCCCAGATACTTTTTGTTATTTTAATTTTTTTTTTTCAGCCCTTATTTGACTGATGTCCTCAACCACTCCGTTAACTCAAAGGGAGAGCTGGTTTTTGTAGTTATCTTTTCATTTTAATCATAAAAATTTTTAATCATAAAAATTTTTTCTTTACCTTTTATATCTTTTTAAAAATATTATAAATAAATATAATTATTATATTTAAATTTTTAGTTTAAAAAAATTAAATAATATCAATTATTATAAGATAAGGGGAGTCTTATTGTGTTTTTTTATAAAAAAGAAAATTGAAAAAAAAAAGGAAAAAAGCGGAGATTAAAACAAACAAGAAGGAAAAAAGAAAAAAAAAAATGAAGAAATGGAAGAAGAGTCCGTTCCTCTTTTAATTTCCTCCGTATCAACCTTCATCTCCTTCTCCTTCTCCACATCCTTCTTCAAATCTAACCAGAAAGAAACTAACCTAGGTTCCAAATCAATATGAGAATCAAGTATTGGGGATGCTATTGGGTTATGTTCTTTGATGATTCGTGTGTAGGATAGTGAAGATCGGTAACGCTTTCAATTACTCAATTAGAATATTCTAATCGTAAAATTAAAAAAATAAAAATATATATATTTAAATAAATTTAATAAATTAATTGATAAAAAAATTTAAAAAATATATTTTTTATAATTAAATAATTAAAAATATTAAAAAATAAAAATTATATAAAATTATATAAAATTATAAATTGAGGATTAAAATTTACATTTAACGAAAAAAAAAAGGAATAAAGTACCTGCGTAAGTCGGTAACCGTCAGTAGTGTTCTCTCTGGTTCATTTTTGCCGTATATATGCAGCAGACAATGCCTGAAATTGATCCATTGCCTATTTTCAAAACGAAAAAAAGGACTTTCCTCAAAAAAAAAAAAAGACACAAAAAACAAAAAACGAAAAAAAGGACATTGAGAAGTTTCGACGAAGGTGCACGAAATAAAAGCTGATGCACTCAAATAATTTATTAATTAATATTCCCAAAACGGAAATAAAAAAAGGATTAGAAATAAAAAAATTACATTGATAATTGTAACTTGTAATACAAGAACGATATAAATTATATTACTTTATTTTTTCAGAAAGGAAAAAAAAATTACATTTATAATCGGTAACGCTTTCTCGAATTGTGATTTTATATTTAAAAAATTAAAGAATTAAATTAAAATTACTAAAAATATATAAATGGAATATT